AGGCTGCCTCAGAAACCATCTGTCAGCACAAGGGTGAGAGAGCCGGACTCAGACATCCAGACCTTTTTACAGGAGTTGGGGGATCCCCTCCAGATGTCCCTGAATCCAGGTGGTAGGGCTAAGGGAAAGATCCACAGTGGCTTACAAGGTCTCTGCAAAGTAGGTGACACTCTGCCTGGGACCCTCAGAGAAAAGTGACAGCAGATGGGCTGATTCCCTGTCACCTTTCAGGGGTGCCCATGGAGGTGGGAAATCTCTAGATTTTTGCACCCAATTTTAGGGACTCACAACCTTATAAAGCCCAGCCAGGGATGCCCCTCACCCATGGGTGGTGGCTATGAATGGGCCAATTGAGAGAACTGTGTATCAGTTGAATTTAAAATTCCCAAGGGTGATGGCATGCTTTGGCACTGGGGAAAATGCTGTTTATCAGCCTTCCTCCCAGAAGCACATTCTTCCTAAACTGGTTGGCCTGGCTTACATGAATAGTTAAAGCTAGCCAGTCATTCTGTATTTTGAAAATGTGTGTTTGGATTCGTGGATTTGATTTCTTTTTCCTATCTGGCCTGTGATCAAATTCACCCCACCTCCCCCACCCCTCCACCATCCTCAGGCGTGCTCCTTGAGAGTGGTAAAGATGCACACATGCAGATCAAACCTGCCAAGTGAATAGGTCAGGGCCTTTGCCAGCCCCCTCCACGCCTGGGAATAACAGAAACCCAGCTGAGAGGGAGAGATAAGCCCTAATGCATAATCTTCCCCACCCATCCACATCTGAGTTTGCAAATAGGCATTCTAAAGTGACCCTGGCTCAGAGGGTTTTCAGAGTGATGTGTTGCAGCCAAACCCTACCCGGAGTTTCATTCCATGGATACTCAGCTATCTCTCACCTGCATGGGCACCCTAAAGGGAGACAGGGTATGCACCCACCTGGTGCAGAGTAGCCTGTCACTTATCTCAGGGTGCAAGGCCAAACAGTTGCATAGATTGCAGAGACCTTGACAGTGAGTTTCCACAGGCCTTCCCCCTAAAACCCACTGCCTGCGTTTGTGGATAGTACTAACGAGGATTTTTCCCTTGTAAAGGGCAGCTCGGTATGGCGGCTTCCTACAACCTGGGCACATTATTTCCAAAGTGCTTCTCTGAGAGGCAGCCCCTGTCATGGGAAGAGCCCGGTGAGGTGGGGGACCCAGGATTCTAGTCCTACCTCTGTATTCCAGTCACTTTTTCCTCTGAGCCTTAGCTTCCTGTTCTGCAAAATGAAGGGGTCAGCCTAGCTGAGAGGTCACAACCTCAGCCGCCCTCTGGGAGCAGGCAGGGAACACATTAGGACAGGAGCACCCATCGGGGAGTGTTTGCCACTATGGAGAGCAGAGAAAGCCGGCCCCACCTACAAAGGCATTTTTATTCTAAAATTTTAACATGTGTTTGGACAGTAAATGTGTCTGCAATCTAAATCCACCCTGTGACTGCTAGTTGCAAACTCTGGCTATTGATTACAGTCCCAAAGCAAAATGATACTATTAGAATTTCAGCACTTTTTTTTTTAATTTAAGGAGACCTTTATTTCAAAAGGATTGAGAATGTTTGAAATAAAATCGGTGAAATTAAATATATTTCAAATGTGAAGTTTTAGCTGAGTCCCTTGGCTGGTACTGGTTCGGCTGCTGCCTTGGACATCAGTCCCCTCTGCCCCAGGCATCTGGGACCGACTGTGTGTGACGGAGTCCATGCAGGTGGGCTCTAAACGCTCTCTCATAGGGTTTAGCCCCCCAGTGCAGCTTTCAGGACCACGGGCTCTGGGCAGGAGCTCCTCACTGCAACAGTTTTTACTTCTCTCCCATCCGCCCGGGAAGGCTGACCCTGCCTGCAGGCCTCACCCTTCCTCTGCGTGTGCAGGACAAAAGGTAGGCAGAGGTGCAGATTCCATTCAAAGCTGGCTCTCCTTAGGAAGACTTGTTGATGATGTTATTGGATTCCCAGCAGTCCCCTGCCTGGCCCTTTTGCCTGTGGGAGGGGAGGGAGGAAGAGAGCTCCAAGGCTCCCCATTATTCTGGCAGCAACTATATGCTTACCTCGATCGCTATAGTTTTCATACTGCATTATTAGTTTTATTGTTCCTGCGTTTGTTTCTCGCACTAAAGCTAGAAGCTCTGCGGCGCCTGGGTGGCTCAGTCGGTTAAGTGTCTGCCTTTGGCTCAGGTCGTGATCCCGGGGTCCTGGGATCGAGTCCCGTGTCGTACTCCCTGCTCTGCTGTGAGTCTGCTTCTCCGTTTGCCCTTCCTCCCTCTCGTTCTCTCAATCTCTCTCAAATAAATAAATAAAATCTTTAAAAGAAAAAAAAGAGCTTCTAGCTTTTTTTTTTTTTTTTAAGATTTTATTTATTTGACAGAGAGAGACATAGCAAGAGAGGGAACACAAGCAGGGGGAGAGGGAGAAGCAGGCTTCCCACCGAGCAGGGAGCCCAATGCCGGACTCGATCCCAGGACCCTGGGATCATGACCTGAGCCGAAGGCAGACGCTTAACAACTGAGCCACCTAGGCGCCCCTAAGCTAGAAGCTCTTTGAAGGTACTTTCGTGTCCCAGGTACCTAGCACACTGACACATAGTAGACTCAACACATTTTTTTAATATTATTCCTTACTTCTTGCTTATTGCAAGGATGTTGAATTTATATAAACAAATAAAAAAAGATAGGGCATTCTGAGCTTGGGTGTGGGGGGAAACACAAACATAATAAACATAATGTATAATTATATATATGTATTTGCATTTGAGGTCTGTCTTTTCCACTCCAGTGAATTGCCAGCACCTAGCACAGTCCCTGGCATGTGGTGTGTGCTGAATTGATATTTTCTGAATGAATGAATGAGGAGAAGAAAAGCATTTTGCAGAATTTCTGTTTCTGTGGGCCTACCTAAATTGTTTTGGCTTCCCTGCTTTCTCGAACTCACCTACCACCCTCTCCCATCTTAAGCAGGGTGTTGCTATTTCTCTGTATCTTTGTGGTGGCTGAGAGTCTGGAAATCTTGAAAGAACACCCTATGAACAGCTTGTGTACATACATGATCAACCAGACTGACAGTTAAATCAGAAAGGTCTTTTTCATAATTCAATTAAACTCCCTTAAATGTAGACATTAGTCAGGGACAACATTATTGATGGAGTCTAACTGCATATATTTTCTTACACTTTCACTAAAGCCTATGTTTTAAGTCACTTGAAAGACTACTTTCGTTTCTAAAAGGGAACATGCCAAAGCAAGGTTTTAATTCATTACCTTTTGGACATACTGTCATTCCCCAGCTAGCACCAATCCGTTACAGAATGTGATAGTCTAATTCCTTATAGGACTCCTAATCCACCTTTTTATAAGAGTTAGCTTCTGGAAAATTCTGAAAGCCTTTCCGCCTTTCATTCATTTAGTCAATCAGTCATTTGACAAACATTTGTTGAGTCCCTATTATGTGCTAGAAATAAAGAGATGAATAATACACACAAATGTTCTCTAGGAGCATCCAATCTGATGGGGTAGGTAGATGAATAGTTAATTTCATGTAATGTGCACAATGAATAAGAGATTTGTACAAGACACCATGATAACCCAGAGGAGGACAGAGCTGATTCATGGAGGAGAAGTCAGGGAAGGTTTTGCAGAATGATGTGGGAGCTGAGTTTTAAAGGTGATAGGAATGTGTCAGACAAATAAGGTGGGCTAAGAGCATTCCAGGCAATATAACCACCAGAGCAGATCCATCCACCAGAGCAAGTGAAGAGTAGCTAAAGCACTGCATGTCCGAGGTGGAGGAGGAGCAAGTCACCAGGAAGGAAAGGCCTTCTGAGGGTAATAGGCACATCCAGCCTTACACATCAGAACGAGGACCCTAGTGGCCATAAGGGAAATGGCTACAGGACGGTAGGTAGCCCTGTCTAATAGTTCCTTCTACTCCTCTGTGCTACACACTGACCATCCAAGGCTGGGCCTTCATTCACAAGTGAAGCTGAACCATTCTGGAATCGAATGGATTATCAAGCGACTCTTTGAGCTGACTTTGGAACTTTGGTAGAGAATAGGAAAACTCCATGGTTTATTTATCTAATCTGACCAGTCCAGTCCTACTGTCCCTCCACAATGAAATGCTCTCTGCTTCTCTGTAAGTTAATTCCTACACTTGCTTCAAAACCCAGCAAAGGCCAAAGCACTGTTTTCTCCAGAAGCCTCAAACTTGACTGAAGCCCCTTTTTTTAGGCTGGCTAGTGTCTCTGCTTCTTCACTTTATCATATCACTTCTCACAAGACATTGTAGTTCCTATTTATCTGTTCTCCCCACCCCTGGCCTTCCCCTAGTCTCACTAAACCATGAGTTTCTGATGGGCGCAGACTGTGTTTTACTCATTTTCAATTCTCAGGACTGAGCTCAGTACATGGCAAATATATCCTATTTGTTGAATGAATGAGTGAACAGGATGGTGGTGGGTAGGTTAATTCCAATAGTCACAGGTTTTTTCATAGATGTATTTAGTGTGATATGCAAGGATTCAATCTGTTTGCTAGATCTGGAAATTCTGACACAGATGATTAATAATTAACCTCAGAGCACTGACCCCTAGGAAAATGCTGATGCTTTTAAATTGTTTCCTTTATAAGCTGTTAGAAGTGAAAATCAGGAGTTGCCGATTTGAGCTCTTGCCCTAACACTGCTACCTGTGTGAACTTGGACAAGTCATTCTACCTCTCTGAGATGAGGAGCTTGGTTTAGACAGTTTCTATCAGCTCTGTCTGGGAGAGTACCATTCAACAGGGTCAGCTTCGTATCTTCCCCAAGAGCAGGCTTTGGGAGTGAGGAGGGTTGGGGGGAATGGTGGATTTCAGCCTTGGGCATGATGTGCAGCAGCTGAAGTACCAGAAAAGGAATACTGCTTGGAGTGGATTTGTTCCCTACCGCTGCTATAACAGATAACCAAAACTAGGGTGGGTTAAATAACATAAACATATTACCTTACAGTTCTGTAGGTTAGAAGTCCGACCTGCATCTTCCCGGGCTAAAAATCAAGGTGTTTGCAGAGCTGTGTTCCCTAGAAGAGAGGCTCTGGATGAGAATCCATGTCCTTGTGTTTCCTGCGTCTAGAGGCTACCTACAGCCCATGGTTCCTGGTGCCACTCTCCATCTTCCAAGTCAGCAACACGGCTTGACTCTGACAGCTCTCCCATCCTCAGATCTCCTTCTCTGAGTCTTCTCTTTGGCTCCGCCCCCCCCCACCTTCTACTTTTAAGGACGTCACAATTACATTGGATCCACCTGGTTAATCCAGTATCATCTCCCTATATTCAAGTCAGCTGATTTGCAACCTGAATTCCCCTCTGCCGTGGAAGGCAACATATTACAGGTTGCAGGGATTGTGACATTGACATCATTGGGGGACCATTATCCTACCACCACATGGGAGAAGGGAGCAGAATGAGCCAGTGTTAGGTATTTTGAGGAGGAAAGCATTATAGCGTGGTGGAAAGAGCTCTTTCCCCCTGTGGCTTTGAAATTAGAGACTTGGAAGCAAACAACAACTCCTCCACATGATTGCCCATGAATTTGAACAAATCATGTGATGTCTCTGAGCCTCAGTATCTTCATCTGTAGTAGGGATAACAATAACTACCTCCCAGAAAAATCGAGAAGATAAAACATCCCTTTAAGTCAATAAAGCAGTGTTTGGCCAAGACTAGGTACTCAGTGAATGAAGGAGAGCATAAAGTTGGTTTCAGCTGCACCACTGAGCTAGCAGAGGAGCAAAAGGAAATAGGGCCTGAAAGGTAAGCATGATCCATACTGTGAAGAGCCTTGAATGCCATATTTAATTTATAGACCACGAAGTGCTATCAAAGGCACAGACTGAAACAGTAGCGAATGGCTTGAGTGTTCACCAAGCAAGCAAGAATGTCTGATGAATTAGGATGAGCAGCTTTGGCATGACAATTCCCTAAGGACAGGTATGCTAGGCCTCCTCACATCTCGATTTCACATTTTAAGCCAATAAGTAGAAATAAATCCCCCAACTCTGCTGCTGCTAGGGGCGAACAGCATGTTGCCTCCTAAGCGTTCAGTGCATGGTCACACATAATTTTAACTCTGCTTTAACTTCAGATTCATAGATTTACAATTTATCCAACATCTGGAACACCAAGGGCATTGGAAAAGCCATTCTGGGAGCCTGCCACTTACACAGTGGTGCCTCAATACACATTTGTTGATCAAAAATCCCAAACCTGAGGAAAAAGAAGACTTGGAAGCTAAACGAGATCTTTTGAAGTGGAACGTAATTTGAAGAGTTTAACTCTGACCCTATTGAAAATCGTATTTTGCAACTGAACAATAGGTGAAAATCATCAGTTAAGGTTAGCAAAAACACGCAGGAGAGAAAAAAAGAAAATCTAAAATCTTTGTTCATGTGAAGGGAGCATTTTGGACTTATTTTCATTTTTGTCACAACCACACACACACACACACATGCACACAACCTGGAGTAATATATGATTGCAATCATCAGGCAATAACTTTGAACATTCAGAAAAAGTCTCCCTCGTTCCTATGACTATTACATCACAAATATTCCTAACTAATATTTGCTAATCAATAATAAGTTGTTTTGTAAAATTTTCCTCAATCCACAAAGTACCTTTTATACGGCATTTCTAGTTAGCTGGCTAGTTCTACATAAATTGATACATTTTTGACACTTAAAAAATAATGCTTTTTAAATAACTATTTCCTCCTCATTGTAGGATAACACACGAACGTTGTGTTTATTGCATTGATGATCTCTGCCAGTGATGTGAATCATTTTACACTCATGGGTAGTGAGTTCCACATGTGTTGACTTTAACTTCCTGATTTAGAACGCTTGTCAGAGCCTTCATCACAGACCACAGTGTCATTGTGTCTCCAGAAGGTTCCTTTTAATTTGTGGGGCGCCTGCTGGCTCAGCCAGTAGAGCACATGACTCTTGATCTCAAGTTGTAAGTTCAAGCCCCACGTTGGGTGTAGAGCTTACTTAAAAAACAAACAAACAAAGAACCTCAAATGTATGTTTGTTCCTGAGCAAAGAGCAGAGGAGACAAGCTGATATTTGTATGACTGCTTTCTGAGCTGGCCTTCCATGGACATTATCTCACTTGGTCCTCACATTGACCCCGCAAGGGAGCAATTATGAGTCCCATTTTATAGATGAGGGTGTGAACCTTAAAGTGTTTAGTATCTTGCCAATGGTCTTTCCACCAGTAAGTGACAGAATCAGATTTGGACCCGGTGTTCTCCGCCATCAACGACTCTAGTTTCACTTCCATCTGCCAGGACAACTGGAAAAGGACCATGAAGATAAAACAAGTCATTGGTGAACCAGAACTGATGCTAAAACCTACAGGATGGGGTCTGAGAGTCATCCTTACTCTTTGACTTATGTTAAAGAAAACATCACTGAACTAGGAATTACTAGTTTATCTCTAAGAAGAAACCAAGAAAGAGTTCAGTCAATAGATAAATCCCTGAATTGCGGTTGAAAGCAGATAAGAATAACAACCATAATCATGATAATGTTTACTGAGTATTTACCATATGCCAGGCCTTCTTCTAAGCACCCTAGAGATAGTAATTATTTTATCCTGCAACATCCCTGTAAGGTTGGTACCATTGTCATCCCATTTTATTGATGAGAAAGTAGAGGCACAATGAGGTCACAAGGTAAGCAGCAGAGCTAAGAATCAACGCAGGCAGTCTGGCTTCAGCTCCCATGCTCCTATCCACTCACCCACACTGCCTCTGTAAAGAGGATTCCAGGTCATACAATATCAATGAACACAGAACCACGCTGATACAAGAGGGTCTTCCCTCCACAGAAATAATGCCTGCATGTTTCCAGAACTTTGCAATTTATAAAAAAGGACTTGTTCATTATTGTTCATATCATTCATTCATGATTCATCATCTCAGTTGATTCTCATAACATAGTCTGAATGTGCATTTTTATCCATACTGCACAGAGTCTTGCATTCATTTTAACAAATTTGTATTGAGCACTTGTCTTGAGCTACCTTTCAAGGTAGAAAAGTAATCAGAAAGGATCTCATCCTTGCCTTCATGGAACTTACAATATAGCGGACAGGACATTCTTTAGTAAATAATCACATGAGTATGTAATTACAAATTGTACTAAGAGCTATCAGGAATTATGAGAGCACATAACAGAGGATGACCCAGTTACACATTCGAAATCTCACTGATCGATCTGGCCTGGAAGGCATAGCTAAAGAAGTTAGTTTAAGCTAAATTCTAAGAATAATTGAGGATTAATTAAATTTCACCATATCAGTAAGGAGTTCTCTTCCCCACCCTCTTTAAATTTGCAAGCACTTTCCATACACCTTTCTCCTTCCTATTCTTCCATATCAATTATCTTCTTTTTTTTTTTTAAGATTTTATTTATTTATTTGACAGAGAGAGACACAGCGAGAGAGGGAACAAAAGCAGGGGGAGTGGGAGAGAGAGAAGCGGGCCTCCTGCTGAGCAGGGAGCCCGACGCGGGGCTCGATCCCAGGACCCCGGGATCACGACCTGAGCTGAAGACAGACGCTTAACCGACTGAGCCACCCAGGCGCCCCTCAATTATCATCTTCTAACATACAATTTACTCATTTATTATGTCTATTTTGGTCTGAGTAACCCCCTCTAAACTAGAATGTAAGGTCTATGAGGGTTCTTTAATTAGTTTCATTAACTCAATTGTTTGGCACTTATAGACACTCAGTAAATACTTGTTGAATGAATGAATGAATGAACAAATGAAGGAACTAGGGGAAGGGGCCGAGGGGTATAGGGACCAGTGATAAGGGGCAGGGGCGAATTTCTCAGTAGAGAGATCCCTCTTTTGAAGGTCCTGGCGTAGAAGAATAGATCACGTTTTGAAGAAACTCAAGAAGGCTGTCTGGAACATAGAGAAAAGCACGAGGAGGGAAGTGGCAGAAGAGGAGGTGGAAAAGGAAGATTGGGCCATGTCATAGGAAATGGGAAGTCAGAGTATACAATCTCCAAAAAGAAACCATACGTGCAGTTCAGGTTAGAGCTAGCCGACCGTGCTGTCTCTTAAACTTTTCTAAGAATACAGAGCTACTCTCTCCTCGTAGGAAAAAGAGCCAAGCTTCGGCAGAGGACAGGGAGCCGCAGAATACTCAGATGAGGGGAATATTTCATATATTATTAAAATACGGTCACTTCACATGCTCGAGGCAGAAAATCTTGATGACTATGGTTGATTTATGAGCAGCTGGATATTAATGCACGGGGATGTCGAAGTGTGTGAATTGTGTAGAGTTTCCTAATTCTGGTTTGTTAAGATGTAATATTAAAAAAGTGGCAAACTAGATCATTACTGTCTCAGCTAGAGATAATTGATCTTGTGGCAGATAGCCAGCGTTGTTGGAGGAAAGAGAATGTTACAGGTGGCCAGCAACGCCAGACATTGCAGGACCCACTGGCAGATTCCTACCTGCCTGCCCCAAAGCATCTTGGTCCTCTTACGGGAAAGAGCCAAGTGTTCCGTCGGACAGGATGGTGGATGGTATGCTCTTTTATGTCCACCCGGCTCCAAAGAGAGAGGTTTGTGTCTTTTAATTAAAACAGACCTTTGTCATACTAGTGTTTTGACTTGAAGCTTATTTAATACAGACTCCCAGACTATGCCTACCATGTGGTAAGACTCGTGAAACCCTGTGGCACAGAATTACAGGAGGTGCTTTGGGTTTACTTCTGTCAAACAAATTAAATGCCTGCACTTCATACACTTCGCAAGGCCAAATTAAGCGCTCGTCAAAGGGAAGATGGCTTTTCATGTGCCGTGCCTACAGCCTCTTCGACACCAGCTAGCTTTCTCAACAAATCCCAAACTGTCTTCACTGAATACATGAGGATGGCATTTTATCTCCTAGGCGGTCGTTTCTAAGATTTAAGTCTTCCCTAAAAGGATGCTTCTAATTCCAACTACTCTGAAATTCTAGTTAGTACATAGAGGATCTTAGCCACCACAGATAT